TTTGGCAGGTGAACTACCTTCACTGTGGCGTGTGTCACGTGTGTAACGTTTGTCGTGTTCGTGTTACATGTGACTCACTCGGAGACGCTTGCTCTCTTGATTGTTGGTGTCTGGCCAGAACACGGTGGAGTGGAACTCCGCGCCCGCGGTGACGACCCTGCATGGTGGTGGTGCAGGGCGTGCAGCAGCTCGTGTGCGCCACCTACAGTGTCCTCAGTACGGATACTCTCATGTGTCACGACCCGCTCAACGGTGGCGCTCTCGCCTTTAGCCAGCAGCTCACTGCGCATCAGTTCGTCCCGACCACCTTCCGCCAGTGGCTGCTGGTTCAAGACTGGGCCAAGGAGGAGCTGGCGGCAATCGATCCCTTCACGCGCACCGTGGCCTGGACTATCCCTGCTGGGGGCGTCTATCACGTGGACGTGGCTGACGACGAGAGCTTCCTCCTTCTCTCATCTCCTGCCACTCTGTGGAAGTGGATCGTCAGTCCATCGGTCTCCCAGTAACGGAAAAATGATCTTCATGTGGATTTGTTCATGTCTGTTCTTGACGATCTTGGCCAGTGATGCAAGGCCATCTTTGTATTGTTCAATGTTGATGCCATCAAGAGACTGCCCTGTGCAAACTCTTCTCTCCCAGCAGCACACTCATATTTGTGATCAAGGACCCTCTCTCACCACTGTATCTTCAGGGTGTGAGCAATCCCTGAATCCTTGGGCTCACTGTGGAGGACGCCCTCCATATCTGCTATGTGGCAGGAAAGTACCAAGGTTCCTGCCCTGACTGGGGTCGCCATTGGCCACCAAGAACACCAGGAGCATTTTGATAATCACCTGGCATGAGAGTAAAACTTGGCAAAGCAGCACAAGCACATGCTGGCCATGTAGGTGGGCAGTGCGCTGTTGATGGCAGTGGGGTCCAAGTTGAGGGAACTATTACAGCACGCATGCTGCTTCTCAGCCAGCAAAAATAGTAATTCTGACCAGCTACATCTGAAATTTCACCAATACCTGGATTTTTCACCATGGCTTAAAAAGCACCACATAAGTGGTGGAGAAATTTCATAGATAGGAGAACCAGGTAGGGGGTCGTGGCTTAGAACACAAGCCATGTTTTCTCCTGGTTTTTGTCTTCTCTCCTTTCCCTCATGTCACATCCTGCAGCCCTCCTGTACCCTGACTGGAAGTTGGTTGGCTCTTTTCCTATATGGGAGCTTCCAGACCTCTCCATTGGCAACCATGACCATGCACCACCCAACTTCAAGACCAGCTACCACAGCAAGGGAGGTCTCAAGGTGGGTGCAAGTGTCACCCCAAGATTCCAGGGTGTTCAGCCAAACCTCACAAGAGCAGCTACACCAAGTACCAGTGGACAAGAGAATTCACTGGCGCCCCCCAAGACAAGGTAACTGTGTTGATCAAGGAGACCCAGTGGTGTGCAAGCAAGCCAGGCAAGCACCACAGCTGCCATCTCAAGCTCTTTTTTAAAGAGAAAAGGGGGTTAACAACAACCACACAGAGAGGTACTCAGGGCAACAATGAGTGATGCATTGGTCAAACTGCTGTCAGCAATGAGGTCCTGACAGTAGGTGCCCATGCAATTACACACTCTGTGTAATTTCCTCTTTTTTTGTTCTGTCTCTTTTATTGGTGTTCCTTCCTTGCTGGCATGACGTTGGCGTGACAGAGGCCAGGTTCTGTTTTTCGCTGCAAGCACGAGGCCAAGCCAAGAAGAAAGAATCCCACGAAATGACAACGCGCAACACTGCTTCATCTTCATCGTTCACCATGATAATCAACAACGCAACGAAGCCAGCAAAGCTCCTTGCGGACTGAGCCAGGTTCGTCGATGCGTCTGCAAAGACCTCGAAGAATGCAACTCAGTCCCGAACTGCTGCGCCCCTCTTCCTTCTACTACCCTTCTTCCTTCTCTGCCCGCTCTCCAATGTTTGCCCTCTTCAACTGCTGCACCCCCGTCGCCCTTGCCTCTTCATTTTGAGAACGACTCCGATTTTTATGATTGCTTTTGGAGCGATGTGCGGGTGCTGCACCAACGACGCATGTCTAAATGCACCGCCCATCTCATTTGCGAGGTCCATCGGTAACCTCCTGCCAGCTCACTTGCCCAATCATTCACATTTTGAGATTAACTCCATGGTCTTGCTTTGCCCATGCAGCAAGCTGACCATGTCGGTGGCCCTCTCGTTCGGCTTCGACCGCTCCTTCCTCTGGTCGACCGAACTCCAGGTTCGCGCACCTGCCACAACATCTGCATTTGCTGCTTCTTTTCGTAGCCGATCGTCTCTTGTGGCGCTTAGCGTCCTGATTGTTCGATCCCTGACCCTGTCTGTCTGCACAGCACAACCTGGTGTCGATCCAGCCCCACATGATCGAGCGCCTCCGCCTCCGCTACTTCGAACTGTACTCGGCAGCCCCAGCCCCTGAACATCAACATCAACAGCAACTACCAGTGCCGCAACAACTCGACCCGCAACACCATCGTCTTCGCGATGACGATGAACCTTTTCCTCGTACGCTCGCCCACGCCCACGTGGTGGATACCATCGACAGTGCCGGCTGCTCGGTGCGTGTACGGGTCGAAACGTTCTTCGTGCGCTGGGACGACTTCACGCAGCGCTACTGCATGAAGAGCAACAAGGGCCGCGACGAGTGCGTGCTGCAGGCCTTCCGGCACGGACGTCGGCCGCACGACGCCGAGTTCGATCGACTCTACGACCTCTTCTCGTGGCTGCTGCACGAGAGCCGCCTTCTGTTCTCCCCCGGTGAGCCGGCCGCTCTGACCACCGCTGCCGCTGGCCCCGAAGCGCTTCGTCGTAGCGTCGACGAGCCCATCGCCATCACCGTCGTCGATGCCGAGCAAGAGCCTGCGGCAGGCGACGATCTCCCGCTCGCTGCGCTCCGATCGCTCGCCATCCGCACCGATCCGGCGGAAGTGACGCCCGCGGTGAGCCCCGTCCACGCGGACCTTGCGCGCTCGCTCGGCGTCTTCTTCGGCCGCGAGTCGGACGTGGTGCAGGGCTTCCTCGATGCCGACTTCGTGTTCTCCTCCCCCGACGGTCGAGCCCTGCGTTGGCGGTACTTCGTCAGCCCCCACCTCCCGCGTTCAACTCGAACAGTTGCTCATTTCGTCGTCGTCGTTGTCGTCGTCGTCTTCTTCCTCTTCTCTGGCAGGTCGTACCTGCTGGCGCATCTGATGCGGGACATCACCGACGCGGTGCTGGGCCTCTTTGGCCTCCGCCAGACCAAATGCGACGACTACCCGGCCGCCCAGCTCAGGCAGATCCACGACTCGGTCCTGTGCCGCGCCGACATTGCCATCTCCCCTCAGGTACCTCAGTCCTTCAAGGTGGTGCCGGGCCCAGCCAGCCCTGATCCTTTTTCCTTCTTCGCTTAGCGATGGGCGGAGCTGTACCGGCAATGCGTGGACGGTACACACCTGGACATGGGCGAAGACGGCCTGAGCCCGCCGACGGCGATGGACGCCGCGTGGGCGGAGCTGGCGGACATCCTCGGCGCCGTGTTTGTCGACGTCGGCAAGCTGGTGCGCGCGGTCGTCGCCTTCCTCTCCGCCCCTGTGACGGCGGCCCCTTCTGCCCGCGGCTCCCCCGACCCAGCCGCCACCGGCGATGATCACGCGCGCCTGACCAGCTTTCCGAACCACAACCAAATCCACGTGCTCGGCAACCTGCTCCAGCTGCCTGTCATGAAGCGCGAGCCCTACTGCCACGCGCTGTCGTTCCTGCTGCCCAACGATGGTACACCACCCGTCGCATACCGCCGCACACCGCCGCCCACGTGTTGGCTGACCTTCGCCGTCTGGCGCCCACAGAGTACTGGTGTGTCGTTGCTCCGCTCTGCGAGGTGGGAGCAGCGACGACGACGACGACGACGACGACCGACGGGCGGGCGCTGCAGGCTGCGGCCGTGGGCTACCTGGCCTGCATGGTGCGCCTGAACGCCCGGCGGCTCGATCGGCTGGAGCTGCTGAAACCGTTCATTCGCTCGTGGATCACCGACGGCGCCAGGCCCGATTTTCCCGACGAGCTGATGGCCGACCTGCGGTACTTTGGCGGCGTGTGGGGTTCGCTCATCATTCACGACATCATCGCCGGTACGTGTCGGCTCCACACAGCCCTGACCACCACAAGTCTTCAGGAGAGAAGGTGGACGCTCACCAGTGACACACACACACCACACACACACACACCACAACACACACGCACACATGTAGGGATTCACGGATTCGTGACGCGTTCGATTCGAGGCTACGATACGCGGGCGCTCAAGCAGCGGATCGTGGGCGTCGTCGTTTCGGTGCTCGGCGGCGCGCTGCTCGAGCCGGACTTTGCGAGGATTGTGCGTGGTGGCAGTGGCGACGACGACGACGACGACGACGACGACGGGGAGCAAGGCAACTGCGAGCAGGAGGACACCGCCAGAGCGCTTGAGACCCTCATGCTGGCGCTGCGCGTCATCGACCAGTTCGGGGTGCTCAAGGTCAGGTGTCTGCCCCACGACAGCCTCATGTTCGTCCGCCGAAACTGCGCGCCCGCCGCCGAGCGCCTCCTCGACGAGACCTTCAACCGAGGTGCGCCCTCTCTCTCTGTTGTTCGTCGCCTCTCGGTCCAGCAGTCAGCAGTCATTGACAGTCACTGACCTGAATTGCGCAGGTCTGAACGACTCGGCCGTCGTGCTCGAGCGCCTGATGGGCACGCGCGTCATCGACCGCCTCACCGCCGCCGTGCTCCGGGCCATCACCCTCGAAACCCCGCCCGCCGCCACTCCACCGGGCAAAGCCGCTGATGGCGATGGTGATGGCGATGATGGCAACGCCGAGGAGACGACACGTCGGCAGCAGCTGGTCGATGTGGTGAGGAGCGCCGTGGAGAAGATGTGCATCGGCACGGCGTCGGGCGCGGCCGTGACCCAGTCGGTCCTCCCGCCGCTCCCGCCGCACACGGCGCGCCGCCAGACGCGCAAGCTCGTGCGGACCCGGCGGAAGCTCGAGCAGGAGGCCGAGGGACCCGTGCGCGTCATGCTCGACGCCTTCTTCGCCGACGCCCGACGACTGGTCGCCGCCTTCCACCATCAACATCAACACCAACATCACGCCCTCCTTGCCTCCGCCTTGCACGACGTGACCCTCGCCCTCGACGACGTACGTGCGTAGAAGATGTATGCTCACATCTTTCTGTTTTTTTCTTTCTTTACAAGATTACTACATGTTTTCGACTTTGCTTCTTCTTCTTCAATGACGACTCAACCGCCACTCCGCTCAGTCGTTCCACTCGCTGTCGTCCCTGAGGCTGTTGTCGTCGCCGGTGTCGGCGCTGCCAAACTTCTTCTTGGCGTGCTCGAAGACGGTGTTGCCGAGCTTGTTGGCCTTCTCGTCGTCCTCCTTGAGCCGCTTCTGGCTGAGGGTGGTCTTGTCCTCCTTGGCGCCGATGGCGTCGAGCTCCTGCGTCGTGTCGTCGTCGTCGGCCTCATTGCCGCCCACCAGCCCGCGGCGGTTGACCAGCTTGTCCGTCAGATCTTTGTCAGGTCCAGACATCTTCTGCACCCCAGAAGTGATCATGATTAACAAATATATCACAAAAAATAGAATATAGAATAGAGCATATTGTGGTCTGTATATGTGCTGCAGTGTAAACATTTTGCTGCTTACCTCTTTGCTAATCGATTGAAGGATTGATTCTTGGGGAGGGGAGTGTCCGTTTGGGTGTGCGAGAGACTGACTGGCAAAGTGACTGGCCTGTCGCGCTGTGGGCGTGCGTTGTCTTTCGTTGGTGGGCGGAGCAACGCAATGAGAACTTCCGCCCAACCGAGAAGGCGCAATATAACAGAAAGAACAACCCAATGGGCTCTCATTGGAACAACAACTCTCATTTCCCTCTGTTTTCCTTCTATGTACATACCACCACCCTCTCGCGTGTCGGTTCACTTCTTCTTGTCATCGTCGTCGTTATCGTCTTCTTCTTCTTCTTCTTCGACTTCCTCCTCTCGCTCGCGTAGTCGCTCCTCGCGGTCCTGCTGCCGCTTGCGCGCAAGCTCGCGCTGGAAGTCGTGCAGCAGGTCGCCGCCCTGCGTGGCCAGCACCCGCCGCAGTTGCGCCCACTCCTCCCGGCTGTAGCCCTCCTCCAGCTCATCATCTTCTTCTTCTTCATCTTCTTCTTCGTTCTCCACCTCTTCGTCTCCTTCAGCTTCGTCGCCGACGACGGCGCTGACGGCGCCGCGCTTGCCGGCCTCGTCGCGTTCCCGGTGGTCGGCGTACCAGCGCTCGGCCGCAGCCTTGCGCCGGTCCCGCTTGCGCTTGAGCTCGCTCTGGATGCGCTCCGCCTCCTGTTCCAGCCTGTCGCCAACCATGGTCAGATCATGTGTCATGTGTGTCGTGTCGTGGTGTGTCGTGTCGTGTGTTGTGTGTCGTGGTGTGTGTGTCGTGCGTGTCGTGTCGTGTCGTGTACCGTTGTTCTTCCAGTTCTTTGGCCCGTATGTGCAACTGGTGAACGAGCTTCTCTGCGCGAATCATGTCCTCGTGTAGTGTTGCGTGCGTGGGCTCCAACCGAAGTACCGTGTTGAAACTGCGCCGGCCCACCATGCGCCACACACCACCATCATCAGCCCCAGCCCCATGTACTCCTCAGCCCGACCGCTTCGCGCACCTCCTGAGCGCCAACACCGGCTCATCGCACGCCATCTGCGCTCGTCCCAGCGTCAAAAAGGCCTGCACCGCACACGCACCACCGCACACACGCACACCGCACACACGCACACCGCACACGCACACACGGTGAGTTGTCAAGCGGCCAAGGTGGTGGTCGTTGGGAGGCTCAGAGTACCTGGGCGGACGTAGGGTCGAGACAGGCGGCCTGGCCGGCGGCGCGTAGGGCCACGCGCGGTCGCGGC